GTAGTTCAGAACACCTTCTGCTAACTATTCCACTGGTCTTTGTGGAACCACCAAGTAGATTAGGAGGAGATCCCACCTCATCCTGGTTATGCTTGGGTCCTTTTTATCTACAGAATAACAGAGTTTGAAGGGACCTTGGAGGTCTTCTAGTCCAACCTTCTGCTGAAGCAGGAGACCCTATAATATCTCCAACAAATGGTTGTTCCGTCTCTCTTTGAAACCCCTCCCCCCAATGATGGAGCACCCACAACTGGAGACAAGTCTTTCTACTGATTAATCATTCTCATTATTGTTAAAATATTCATGACTGGCAGAGACATGGGAGCAAGGTCAGCCAATGAATAGGCATAGCAACAAGGTCCGCCAATGGGAGCTGAAACAGCTAGGGGCCAGGGCGTGGTTTAGCCTGCAACCTTCTGAGTCTGTGCAAAGAATGGAAACAGAAACTTAAGCAGTCTGCTGCTCTGAGAAGTAAACTAGCAGTCTGTCTGGGCTTGTCTGCTGAAAATGAAGCTAACTGCTTGTGTTTGCCTGTAACTCTCCTGCCTCGTGCATACTTGGAAGAAGCAGCTGTTGGTATTGTACATTTATTCACCTATTCTTATGTATATAAAGAAGTTAATGGACCCAGCTGAATCAGTTATCTGTCTGTGCTTTCTGGATTTGAATTTATGCAACAAACTTTGACAATTATCAGGAAATCTCTCCTTGGTTCTAGGTTGGCTCTTTGGTAAGCTTCCATCCGTTATCATTTCATTCTTGCTGACTTCAAAAGCTTTAATTCCTCATGCTGGGTGCCTTAAATCTTTTTTAAATGCTTCAAGGAAATAACTCCTTAAGAGAAAGGCACAGAGCCAACAATTCTGTGCATTTCCAGAAATGCAACATTTCCCTGGGAAAAACGACACCCTGCCACTATTTTCCGTCATACGTACAGTAGACCAGGAGTTCGCGGACGACGGACTTCTGACGTTGGCTCAACAAGTTGGTGGCCAGGCACGAGTAATTCCCTTGGTAGTTGGGCGCAATGTTCTCTAGCACGAAATAACTCTGCGAGCTGTTAACCTTGGTGAAGGGTTCCCGCGCAGAGCCAAGGGGGTTAAAATCCCACTTAGTGGCCGAATCAGGCCTGGAGTCACTGCTGCAGGTGAAGTTCAAGATGTCGTATCTTCGGGCGTAAAGCGTGCCATTTGGCAATGTCCCGGTGGGTGATATGCTGACCTCCATCCGGTCTGGTCCACCTGAAAGCAAAATGAAAGTGTTATTGATCACGTTGATGTAAAAAAAAAAAGATTTTTGGAGCTTGAATGACGGAAGTTGGATCTTAGGCATCTGCAAGGCTCAAAGGTCCTGCAATCCTCATCCGCATTCTTGCAGTCACAATTTAACACAGACATTAAGATCGGAAGGTTGGAAAGGACCTTGGAGGTCTTCTAGTCCAACCCCCTGCTCAAGGTTCGGTTCAGGGTGCTAATTATTACTTATAAAGCCGTACATGGTATTGGGCCTGGGTACTTGAGAGACCGCCTTCTGCCGATTACCTTCCACAGACCCATTCGATCCCACAGATTAGGCCTCCTCCGTATTCCATCTGCCAGCCAATGTCGACTGGCGACTACTCGG